ACTGGAAACTTCTTTCATCTCATTTTTCTTCTATAGCATAGCTAAGTATTACTACTGTTTCACTGACTTCAGGCTGACTTTTTCACAGAACATCTTTTTCTCCAAAAAAGATAACTTCAATCGCATCAACACCACACTGAAGTTTCCAACGATTAACGATTCTTTTGTTTTCCCTTAAGTTGTTCAACACCATCAGATAGGACTTCCAATTCCTTCCAAACTGATGGAAGACAGTTTTCTTTCATTTACATAAATATTTAATGTAACGATCACAAGCTACATGCAGTATTCAGTTCCTAGTTACAGCACTTACTCAGTGGTGGTACAGTCTTGCCCTGTGACAAAACTCGATGACACAGCTGTGCCAGCTGTTAGGCCAGGACCCAAACCAGACTGCAATATGCACCTTTCTCCACTCCCCACCCAAATCCTGACCTCATGTTCTGTGGCACAAATCTCTCTGACAAACCAATAACTGCTTCTTCAGCTGGACCAGAAGCATTCCCAGTCCAAATGAGCACGCAGCACACTGCCAGCACAGCGACATCCCTCTGTGCCCTGGAATGGGCGCTGGGAAGAAAACACTGTCAGACTCCAACCTCCAGGAGCTTCCTGACACAGACTGCGATGCAGAAACACACTGAGCCTCCCTCCAGTTTTTCAGGGTTGCCCAAACACCAGAAAAAAAAAAAAAATGGCTTTGTTGCCAGGAGGATAAAACATGATAAAGTCAGTTTGTTTCTTAGCTTTTATCCTAAAAGAAAACAAAACAAAACAAAAAAACCAACCCACCGTGGTATTGGTACACAAATCTCAATGAAGTGTCAAAACAGAGCAATAATAACCGTGTATACAAACTAACGATAGCCACTGGGAGGGAATTCATTACTTTAAAATACCTAGTTATAAATATCATACTTTTCCCCTGAGTAGTAATATTAACTCCCTTCTTTAAATTCATACACACAAGACGACTAACCTTAGACAATAAAACACGGAATCGGATAGCAGAAGATAGGAATCATTTCAGTCACAAAAGAGACTGACAAAGCCCTGTCTTCCAGCCAACACAAAGTACTGGCTTACGTGAAATGACAGTTGAACTGAGGTTCCTTTTTACTGGGTCAGACATATAAAGAAAATATCTGAAAGCATCCATGACTACAATTCCTTCCTCACAAAACTACTGAATCTAACTGAGGAAAGAGGAAGAAAAGAGTGCCAAGGCTTCAAGGGTTGACTTGGCTTACTTAAATTCACTACTAAGAGAAAGTAAATTTTCAAAGTACATGAGAAAAGCAAATAAAGTTGTCATCCAAGTCCTGAAAATAAAAGCTATTCAGTCCTGCTTCTGCCATTACCATCAGTGGATTTCATAAATACATAGACTTGTATTCAATGCTTAAAAATATCAGTTTATGAAATAAGGTCATCATTATACAACACTGTTTGGGCAACTAAGGCTGAGAACAGTTATTTGAAGTTTCCTATAACCTCAAGACTTCCTGAATCATAAATACTATTCAAACTTACCAATCACAAGGGCATATTCCCCTTATTTGTCGATCTTTGTAGTGGATTTCGTAAGTTACATTTCAACCATTTATTCCTATCTAAATATTTCTGCCTGTCCCAGTTTTTCCCATGACACTTGAAAATTGCCTATTTCCCTTTGCCAATTTCCCACTTTCTAAAATGACACATGACAATGACCTTCTATCTTTAGAGTCTGTCAGCCAAACCCACATTGATCACAGAGGGGAAAGATGACTGGAAAGAAGTCAGTGAAAGGCCATCATCTCAGAAGCCACGCACCCTGGCCCCAAGATAACACAAAAGAACGATTTTTTCCCCCCCTCTTCAACCTGCACTACGTACTGACATTAATTCCTCCAGCAAATTCCTTGCTCCTCCTACTTAGCCTTGTCCACGATTAATCCTTTCTGATTCTCATGAATTGGCGTATGAATTTCTGCACAGTCAAACAGAAGAGATTTTAGCTCCACCTTATCAGGATGCTGACAAAAGGCACTATGTGACAGTCAGCCTTCTCCTCTGAACAGCCTCACGAAAGACAGTTAAAGTGTTGAAGAAGGGGAACAAAGGAAGCAAAGTCCCAGGCTTCCTGCTACTACAAGACCATTTTAAACCTTCCAACATCACAAGGGGCCCTACTGCTGGCGATAACTCAAAGAGGAGAAAATGTGCTTGATACCATGTCTTCATCACACTTACAAGGCAGCTCTTCCATGTTAAAGGTTAGGCATGCTGGAAGAATAACACGAGAAAGCAAACTCCTGTTATTTATGAAATTGCTGTCGGAATGCAGCAGTTGACACAAGACCAACTGGAGCCACTCTGCAAGAGCTGGCAGAGGCAAAGCCCTTCTAAACCCCTCCAGAAGGCAGGCAGCAACTGGGCCTTGCTGCTCCAGTGCTCCACTCTGCTTACGAGCGCCGCAGTGCTGCCATGTGCCACGCGCCACCTTCACAGCAGGAGCAAGAGAGGTATTTCTGTCTCTAACTCAATTACAGATTATAAAAGATCACTGATTTTTTTTTCTTTTAACAGGCTTTACTGTAGTTAACTTAGCTAAAACTTTAACCACCTTCAAATTCACCTTAGCACTGTTAACTATTAAGCACTTTAATTACCTAGAACACTTGATTCCATACAGTTCCTCAGATAACTAATTAGCTAAAACGATCAAGGATTGAAATCCCAAAGGAAATTCTTCTGGTTCCGTAGAACTGCACAGGTTTCATCTTGCTAATGCTGCACCTCTACATGAGGCCAATTCACACACAGGTGTAGAACAACCATCCCTTCATCTGTTTACGAGCAGAAAACAAAAGTCCTGAAAACAAAAGTCCCCACATACTCAAAGGAAGCCAATGCATTTAGCTCTGCACGTCCTGTGCCGCCACCAGAAACTAAGAGTTTTTGAGTAACACTGAAGAAAAACTTTTGATTCCCTTGTTTTTATAGCACATTACACATCACATCAGGTATCCTTTTTCTGCTTCAAAGGTCAATTATCAGAGGGCAACCAAATCAAAGGCAAACAAGTTTTAGATAGGACTTCAAACTAGACTTCTTTCAAGCCACATGAATAAGCCGCATCAAGAGGAATAATTCAAAACTGCATCTGTGCACATGGACTCTAACACTGGAGACTGGCTTCATCTCCAGCACACAAGTCTTCACAACCTCTCTGCTGTTATGCATCACATATATGCTATGTGATTGGCAGCAGGGCTGCGCTGGCATGGAGGCTGCAAGGTAATCCCAGTCCTTTGCTAGGAGAAGACAGAAGCCAGCAGAAGCTGCTGAGGCCAAATTTGCCACGTTGCCCTGGAATCGAGCAGCACGTTCAACTTAGCCCAAGCCTACAACACAGAAGTGAGATACTTAAAAAAGCAATACTGCTGCCAACTTCAGTGTTCCAGACCCTCGCCAACTCTGCAGGCTTTGTGTAACAGGTCCTTGAGATCCCAGTCTCACACAGATTTCGGTATGCAGCCCACAGCTTCGGACAGTTATCCACCAATGCTATGTATCATTAACACAGCATCATCTCTTTAACAGCATTTGTATGCTTAGTAAATGTAGGACTTTGTTGGCTAAGTGGATTGATAATTGTAAAGGCATCAAGGATGCCCATCTTAATGCTGGAAGTTATACTTAAGCGGCAGATTTTGAGAGCTGCTACATCAAAGTCAACTCATGCAAATCTTTTAAGTTTTGCAAGTATTTTAAGAAGTCTTTACTAAAAAGAGCAGCCAAACAATGAAGACCACTCAGCAGAAATCAGATGTAGGACCAGGAACTTAGGAGAAAGAGTTGTCTTAAGAAAACATTGCTTACAAAGAGGAGCTAAAACCACATAGTGTACCACAGAATGCAACTTATTACGAATCAGCCTGAAGTTTCTTTCAAAAGACTGTGTACCTTATCCTAACTCAGCATTTGGGGATTAGGAGAAAGTACTGTCAAGGCTCCTTAGCTAAACGTTTAGCTCAGACATTATTACTAAAGAATTAATACTGCAAGACTAGTGAAAGCTTAATCTGCCCAAAACAATAGGACACACAGAATAAATCAAACTGACTAGAAGGTAGGAGGTGCTAATACAAGAATACTGTTTGAAAACAAAAAGGCAAAAACAGTACTATCATCTCAGAATTTTACATAAAAGGAATAAGGTCTAAAATTCCAACACCTTAATTCAATTTGAATTGATTTAGCAGGTTTTGGTACGTACGCACACACAGATGCTTGCCACACCAACTAACATCCAGATCTCTCCCAACTCCCTACTACGGTTAGGCGAAAAGTCTGAGGAAGATTTGATTTCTAAGAAAGAAGATATTTCCATTTTTCATATCTTAAAAAGCCATTCTCCTCCTCATTATGATCAAGTAACTGTATAGATTTCAAGCACAGAAAGAAAATCCTTTAGAAACATAAATCACAAACATCTGGGCAAGCAAAAGCAAAAAAGGAGAACAAAATCTGACCCGCTGTCCTAGAAATACATATCCCAATCTTATTTTGTGAAGACAGAGAACCCTGCTTGCTCTGAATAAAGAAAATTGCATTCATTTTGTACACTAACAGAAGGTGTATTTACAGCAGTATAAATCAATGCATAGGTAAATTATAGCAGAGGTAAATTAGTGTCAGCCATGTTGTGAAAGAAACTGTAGTGAGAAAAATAAAAATTAAAAAAAATCAAAACACAAAACTTGAGCCTTGATCAAATCAGCAACACTGAACCTGGATGCAAACCATTCTACACCATTAGCTCCTACTTCTTACTAGTGCCTGACTTTTTCAAGTTAATGTCTCTCAACCTCTAAAAATACATAATCAGATTCTACAGAACATGAAAAGGCAAAAAGAAGGAAATATTTCAAGTCATGAAACAAAACCATCTACCATGTGGAACACAGACATCAGGTAAAGTGTGAAGAGGAAAAAAAAACAAAAGTACTTACTCAGCATTAAATCCATTCACATGCAAAATCCTCATCTGTTTGACTATTGTGCTTTTACCAGATTCACCAGCACCTAGAAAATGAAAGTAGATCAAGTTGAGAAGGAAGCATGAGTGATAAGGGACATCATTTTTTCTTCATGGCAAAATCAAGAAGGTTGGTTTTCTCAGCGCAAGAGTGAAAAGTGAAAGAAAAAGAAGTAATTGCCACTGGAAACTTCAGTTGTAGCTAAAAATAAACGCCCAGCTCAAGTCATGTGTCAGATCTGAATCTTGGATCATTTCACTGTCCATTTTTCCAGTGTCAGTGTTAAAAGCAGACTGCGAGGTCTGGGAGGAAAAAGGACAACTTCAACGCTTTAGAGAGGACAAGTCAGAGAACGTCAAAATCTGCTTGCCTCGTCAACACTATCCAGTGAAGGGAAAGACTGAGTGTAGTCCAGCTTAAAGAGAAGTGTTTTTGTTAGACCCTTAAAATATATTGTTTGACTGCAGTTATCACCATCCAATCAAAAGACTGTAACTTAAATCACAAGAAATAAGATACATGGATACTCACATCTGAAAAGGAAAGGCAACCCCTTAAGCCTCCACCCACAAAGCTACAGAAGTCTCCTTTCTCTAATCCGTGCCTTGGAAGCAGCCTCAACCCCCTCTATGTGCTCCAAACCGATCCCACACCCAGTGAGATTATGTCCCACATTAAGGACACCTCTTGTGGCTGCGTGTTCCAAACAGGCCCCCACCGCTCTCCTCTCAATTCCCTCGTATACCTGAAGTACAAATAAATAAATAAATAAATACTCCACTTCCTCTTATTTCCATAAGTAGCCGTATTCTATTTCTGCTGTGCTGCACGGATGCCAGTGCACGAGGCAGCCCATCTGCCCATAGCACCCATTTTCCCATGCACACGGAGAAGACTCAAACAACAGCATTTAACTGAGCTGCTCCACGCTGCCAGATCAGCTTTCTATATAAAGCAAGCATGTTTTTCTAAGAGTAGTATCACAACCTGGTAAAATTTAGCAAGATTCTCTCCTGAATCTCCTGCTGCTTGTTTATTCCTCTCCTCGCCCTGTGTCTCAGCACCAGGAAGGCATGTGGCAGAACGGGCACCGAGGCACAGCCTGTGCTCCAGGATGCCAGGCCTCCGTAGCACACGCTGACAGCACAAGCCTCCATTTTGAGCCTCATGTTCAAAACTGTATTTTAGCAGCTACACTTGGAAGTTCATTTTCTGACAGATGCACTCCTCTCCACTTTCTGCTTTCCTTCCCTTCCCCCTCATGAATTCCTAACAGCTCTGCTCTTCTCTCCATAAAATCAGTCCGCACGTTTTGCCACAATACCAGAGTCCCGCTCCTTTCCCCTCGCCTTACTGACCAGTTGGTAAGACGCAGGGAGCAGGGCTTGCCTGCAGTGCTCTGTGCAAGCAGCACATCCCCTGAACCAGGGCTGCGACAGATGCGCTGTGCCCCGGCTGCACCCCTCGGGCACACACCCTGCACCCCCATCCCGGCAGGCAGAGACACTGAGCACCTCCAGGGGGCACAGATGGGGTCCTCTTCGCAACAGCAAACTGTTCAGGAGCAGTAACAAATGCTAAATCCCTATTTCAGATGTGACTTTAAATTACGTCTGCTAATCAAAAGCACTTCCAGCCAAGATCTCGATGTCGCTAAGTCCAAAAATGGAGATTGCTGTTGCTGCAAATGCATACAGCTTGGCATTGACATACCTGGCGTCTCTGGATCGGATACAGCAGCAGTGAACCAAAATTAAGTGTTACAGCCACATTTCTGAATAAGCCTATTTCCGTAACTGGCAGCTCGTTACGGCTCTGTTCTTGCAAACATCGATGCACACGTTTTAACTTCACCACCAAGGATAGTTCCATGAATTTCAGCATGCGGATGGAGCGGGGCCCCTGTGCAGCAGGATGGGCTGCGGGCTCACCGAGCTGCGATTCTGTGGCATTATTTGAATGCGATCTGAAAATACTGAGACTGCCCTGCACTTCCAGAGCATTTGGTGGTTCCACGTAACGTGTCTCACAAAGCAAAAGTAACACCATGGAGACGTGAGTCTCACTACTTGCACAGTAAGTTTCTGCTGCAGATTGCCCACAGCAGGCGAGGCTGCCAGCAGCTGTGCCAGCACAGCCACACACACAGAGGACCCTACGGCCACTGCTACGCACCTGCAGCATTTTATTCGCAAAGATCCAAACAATTTTTCAGTCACCCGAACTGAAGAAAACAAAGAGAAAAATCCAAGGAAGCCCCTGCGTGTCACAGAAGCGATCCAGCTGGTGAGGAACGGCTCCGCGCACACAGTGCTCAGTCCCAGCACAGCAGGCCGGGCTGCTCGCTGCTCGCTGAACTCCAAACCACACCGCTGGAAGATTTCTGCTCAGCGCCGAGCGACTTTTCAGCTCCACGGGTGCCGCCGCAGCTCCAGCACGTCACACCTCCCTCTTTAAACGGGCACTTAGAGGCTGCGGCCGGTCGGGGCACACACGCAGCCCGCTCCCCGCTCGGTGCGGCCTGGCCTCTGCCGCTCGCCGAGCCTCGCGATGCCCTCATCGCGCCTTATGTTAAAACACTCCCAAACACTTTGAAGCCGTAAGTGCGGGAGCGTTCGCTCTCCGATAACCGTTCCGGCCTCTCTTTCCCATAACCCCCACCCGCGGTCCGCAGCGGCTGTTCCGTACCGCACGCAGCCGGGGCGGACGGCCGCCGCCGCCTCCCGGATCCCGGCCCGCAGCCCGGCCCCGCGCCGCCCCGCACGCTCAGCCTCGAGCGCGGCCGCCGCTCTTCCCTCCGGGATCAACATCCTCTCCGCGTCCCCCCCCAAGAATTCCCCGACTTCCTCCTTTCCTCTTCCTCCTCTCCCTCAGCCCCCGAGGGCGGCGGGCAGCGCCCCGGGCCCGCCGAGCTCGTGCCGCGCCGGCCTTCCCCGCGGCGCCCGGCCCCGTTTACCTCCCCGGCTCCCTCGGGCACGGCGCTCCCCGCCGCCCGGCATCCCCGCCGCCCTCCTCCCGACGAGGCTCCACTCGCCCTCCGGCCCCGCGTCTCTCCCGCCCGGCACGGAACGGCTCCCGTATCCGCGTAGCCCGCCCGAGCCCCCCGCGGGCGGTGCCCGGACCCCCCCCGGCCCCGCCGCCTCCGCGCCCACCTCCCCGGCTCGGCCGAGCGCTCAGGCCCGGCGGGGCTGCAGGCCGCCCCCGGCCCCGCGGAACGGGTGGGCCCCGCGGATCCGCTTCCCCGGGCCCCACCTCTCCCGCCGGCCTCCCCGCGCCCGGGCAGGGGGCAGAGGGACCGCGCGCGGCCCCGCCGACCTCCTTCCTGCCTTTCTGCCCTCCTCCCCTCCGCCCGCCGCGGAGGACGCGGCCCGCGGCCCCTTACCCAGCAGCAGGAGCCGGTGCGTGGCCCTATAGACCTGCTTGTCCTTCTGCAGCTGCTTCTCGATTTTCTTGTTGGCCTCCCGCTGCGCCTTCTCCTCGTTGCGCTGATCCTCCGTCTTGCTGTTCCCTAAGCAGCCCATCTTGGGGAGGGGGCGGCAGGGGACGCGGGGCGCGGGGACGGGAGGCGGCCGGGGCTGCCGGGGGGAGGGAGGGAGGGAGGGAGGCACTCTCCCGGGCTGCCTTCTTCTTCCTCCTCCTCCTCCTCCTCCCCCCCTACTCGCTGCTGTGGCGGCCGCTGCCCAGAGCCAGAGACATGGAGAGAGCCGAGCCCGGAGCCAGCCAAGGGGGGGCCGATGGCGATGACTTTGCTGCCGCTCCGCCGGGGCCTCCTCCCCGGCAGCTGCAGCTGCTTCTCCTCCCCGCCCCCCCC